ACAAATTTGTTTTACTTTTCTAGTAAAAAATACATGTAGTTATCTTTTTACATGTGAAGCAAAATATTTACGCAAGTCCCTCTTCAATACGCCTCTGTTTCGCCTACATATAAGTAAGCCTTCATACGGTTTATTTACATACGTACAAACATTTATCAGCTAATTCAAGAATTTATTATTTTTATGAAGACAAAATAAGCAAAAAAGGAAAAGTCTGCACAAATTCTGAAACAAAGAATAAATTTGTATAAGTACGAGTATTTCAAAAATTTTTCGAAATATATATTTTAAAAGACAAATGAAAAAAATTTGTTGTTTTATATGTAGCTGAAGAACTCAGTGAGAGGGGATACCAGTATGTTTGCATGTATATAGTTACACAAATATGTATTTATATAAAAAAATATTTATTGGACCAAAAAGTGGTGGGTAGGCACTGTGGCCAATGGTAATCAACTTTTACCACCTGTGCATGGTTGTAAGCCATTAGCACCGAAATTCAAAATGATATTGTCTGCCATTTACGTTTATTTATTTATTTTTGATAATTTTCATTTAAAATATAATTCAATCTATAACAAATTTATTTAACTTAAAAAAATTTTCATCAAAATTTCCAAATTTTTAAATTGAATTATGCAATTTTTTATCTTATTTATTTTTAGTCTATAAAGTGTAATTTTCAAGTCGCTAAAAATTACCATTATTTTTTTTTAGAATTTTTTTGCAAAGGGTGTTGCGCATTTCCTCACATATGTATAACGTGTGATCAAAATCTATTTTATATGAAAAAGAGATTTTTTGTCGGCCACTGTCGTGTTAGCCCAACATCAAAATATAAAGAACAACAAAGTTTTTTTAGTATGATGAAATGTTCTATCACTTTTTAGTTCTTCGCTAGAGCTTCCCAAACATTGCCAACATACGATTTTTTGGACACATTGACCACGTTTTTCCCAAAATCTGTAGCTATTGGAAACTTTATACCTACGAATTCGCAATCAGCTAAAAAAAAAATCTATCAAAAACAGCAGAGGTCTTCAACGATTTTTCTTTGCACTTTAGTCCACTTATTCTGTGGTACTCTTAAATCGCAGCCGGGAAAGTAAGAGACTATACCAGATTTATTTCAAGCAAAATTGGCAAAACTTAGTTCCTTCTTCAGCTTTCGGAATGCTGTCAGACCCGATTTGTTTACCGGCCAGCGAAAACTAATTTGAATAATTGCACACAAGTTCCGTTTCAAAAGAACATAGTATGTATGTATGTACAATCCACTAAAGTTAATAAAAACGACAGAATGTATACATACGTCACTCATACGCCATGTTGGCCTTGAAAGTACAATGACACAAATAAGCCCAAAGTAAACAATGAGACCTGCAATAAGTGTGCTTGCACATCTCTGAGAGTAAGACTTTGAAACGTTTTTGCGAAGAAGTGTGTCACATTTGTCATTCCCCTTTATTGTACATATGTATGTACATATTTTCGGTGACTGGCAATTAAATACAGAAAAATTAAATTAAATAAGTATTTAAGCTAAAAGAGTGTCACTTCTGACTAATGGGGGCAGTAAATACTCAATCCATTTCGTATGCTCGTTTCCCACAATACACAATTCAAGAAACATACCAAAGAATGACGAAAGTGGCGTCCTCTAAAATTGATTTGAGGAATAGTCAAAAAGTGTCAGCTATTTTTGCGCTGATTGGAGGCAAAAAATTAGAATAACTTACCTTTTACAATAAATGGTATAAAATGTTACATCATTTTTTTTTTTGTACAAATTAAAGTTTATTTAAAGCAATTTGCATCTGAGTGCGAATTAAATTAGCGGCAATTAAAAGACATAAAACACAAGCGAATGCAGAAAGACACCGCGAGCGAACTAGTAAATAACACTTTCATTTTTTTTTGCGCTGAGTTTGACATTAAAATTAAAATTGTTTACTCAATACTTGCATACACACCTAAATACATACATACATATATGCAGTTATGTATGTTTATAATCAATATAACAAATGCTACTTAACTGTTACCTTCACCTTCGTTTCACAAATTTTTATTTAAGGTTTAATCAATTTCTTAATTATTATGCATCTACGACAGCGACGGGCGTGTATGGCCAGGTGCTTCTTCAAGCACAAAATGCATATCAATACAAACACACATCATACTCACACATACACATATACATACATACATACTTTCTAATAAATACATAGCTGATATTATTATTTTCATAACAACGCATAGACTAGTTGGACTTCCAGTGCCTTGTCAAAGAAGCGACTGGCCAAGAATACTTATTTGATTGTTTGTTTGTTAAGCTTGTCAACCGAAGCGAATAATGCAAAGTTGTTTGGTCGGTTCTATGCGTAATTGATGAGCGCATTTGATTAACATAAGAGACATCTATTTACTGAGTAATATATACAGACAAATATGTAAATATATGCATTAGCATATTCATATATATTAGCAACAACAAAACTTTTGCTATTGGTGATAACCACAATCAAAGACAGAACAAGGCAAGGCTTATCGTCCCCTAAGGGTGAAAAGGTTTTAAGTCCATTTTTTTCAAGTATTCAGGAGAGATGAAAAATAGTTGTAGTTTCGTATTCCCTGCCATTCTGCACCAAAATTTAATTTTAAAAAAAAATGGACTTGGCGCCTTTTCACCTTTAGGTAGCGTTATCTACTTAATTGTAGTAGTAGATAGTATGACGCTCAGCTTAAGTTGCGTAAATATTTTTATCTCAACGTAACCGGAAATTGTTTTTGGCAAATAGCAAGACCATTGATACGGTGAATTTAGTCAAATAATGGCGATTAAAAACAATGGTTAACGGAAATAAAAGTTCTTTGAAAAGGAGAGAAGAAGGCATACCGAGGCATAACTCAGCTGATGACAAACATATCTTTGCCAGGAAATGAAGTAAATTTATTGAAAAAATGGTACAGGTAATGTGTAATGATAGAGTAGTAGTGTGGTAATTGTAGTACTTGTGGTAATAGGCATAGTAGTGCTAAAATTAACGATAATGGTAATGGTTTTCTTTTGGTATGATATAGGTAATGGAAATCGTAATGGTAATGGTAATGGTAATGGTAATGATAATTGAATGATATGATAATGGTAATGACATGGTAATGGAAATGATATTGATGATGGCATTGGTAATGACATGGTTAATGGTTATTGTGTTGGTAATGGTATGATTGTTGTATGGCAACGGTTTGCTTATGGACTGGTAATGGTTGAGTAATAGATAAGTTGTTGGTAATTGTGTTTTGATAATAATGCTAATGGCATTATAATGACAATGGTATAGGAATGGTATGACAATGGCATGGTAGTGGTATTGTAATATTATGGTAATGTTATGTTTATGGAGTGTAAATGGTAAAGTAATTGTATAGTAATTGTATGGTAATGTAATGGTTAAGTTATGGTAGGAGTATTGTAAAGGTAACAGTAAGGTAATGGTATGGTAATGGCATGAATATAGTATGTTGATGGTGTGGTAATGGTAATGTAAAGATAAGTTAATAATATGGTAATTGTGATGATTTTTTTTTGTATAAAATGGTCCCTACAATAATGTCCCTAGCCACAACAAATCTCATTAGAAAACATGCGTCTATATTACATAAAACTTTTGACTTTTAATTTTTTTCAGAACACTTCGGGATTTTTTCTCCTCAGACCGTATGGTGATTTTAAGTGACTTTTCGGGATGTTTTAACTCTAAAAGGGTACTTAATCATTAGTTTGATTTTTAAGTAAAAAAATTTTTAAATTAATTTCTGATCAAAAAGTTTTATTAAAATTTCGAACTTTATTTTTTTTTTCTTTTTCTTTTTTTAACTTGTCACAGATGCAATAATTCAAATTCTATTCCAAATTAGCAAATATACGGCGTGCTTCACTGCCCCTGGAACGTATTTTTGTGTCGTTTGGTACCCGTATTGTAATATTTCATTTATTTTATCAATTTGATTGAATAGAAATTTTCAAACAGGTGGCAACGCTACTAAAAAATATATTTGGCTGTAAGCCTTCTTAAACCTCTTTCTTTTGACAGCCATATTGCTATATTTACTCTATCCTTTTTAAATTTTCTTAAACTGCAATTTTCAAACAGGTGGCAACTCTCTAATTTTTTTCTTTCTATATTTGGGCCTTTAGCAATACATTTGTGAAAACTGCATTCAATTCCTTGCATTTGTTTTCGTTCGAGTGATACGCATACAAACATACAGACAGACAGATGGACAAAAATTCTAAGAGTTGTTGATTTGGCTTCTCCTGGTTCTCTAAAAAAGACCCGCATATAAATTTCTCTTTAATATCTTTAATTTATAGACATCGGCCTGTTTCAATTTTATTATATGTAAGAGATAATCGTAAAAAGAGGATCTGGATTTATTTTCTGTTTGCATACGTACTTTGTTTAATCATCGAACGGAATTTCTTTACTTCCTATAGGAAACCACTGCAAAATGTTGACTTTCTAAATCAACGAATAGCTTAAAGTGTGTAGAAAAAATGCTGAATCCAGGGTGAGCGCTATCGCCAATTAGTTGCGAAAAACTCCTCCACATCGCAAATGAAACACAAATCGCCAATTAACGACCATTTCTGTTACCATTTCACGTTTTAGTGCCAATAGCGCATATCGATTACATGTCCACTTTTATGAATTTATATTTGTGCTCTTGCAAGCGGCTTGCAGCAAGCGATATTTGATATGCATGCGCCGTATAACGGAGTGGCGTAAATTAGGCGAGGTCTTCTGACGCACTCGCTGCTTTTATTTATTTACTTACAATACCCTCAATCGAATTTGGTAAAAATTTTGCGAGTGACTTAACAATTGCAGTTCACTTAGTTTTTCGGTATAAAAGGTAGTTTTATTTGGCAAGGGCAGCATACCACCACCACAGTTCCTACAGCTAAGTACAAGCAAACCCTAAACAAAAGCAAAATGTTCAAATTCGTAAGTGTTTTCCGAAAATCTCTGCTAAATTAGCACACAATTTTTTTTCAATAAATATTTCTTCTTCCAGGTGACTGTCGTTCTTGCCGCCCTCATCGCTTGCGCCTCAGCCAAACCCAGCATTGTGGCGCCATTAGCAGCAGCTCCTTTCGCCGCCCCTGCCTACGCCAACGCTCCACTGTACGCCGCTGGTGGCAGCAGTCAAATTGATGTTCGCAACAACTACGATGGCACACTATCTTCGTACACCACAACACCATTCCACTATTCCGGACCCTTCTCCAGCCGCTATGTTTCGGGCATTCCAGCTGCCTATGCTGCTGCCGCACCTGCTCCCTTAGCCGCGCCGTTAGCTGCTCCAGCTTTTGCTAGATACGCTGCGCCAGCTGCTTTCGCGGCTCCCTCTCCATTGGCTGCTCTACCAGCTCCGTTCGCCGCTGCGCCTGCCCCTCTGGCAGCTGCTCCTGCTCCTTTTGCCGCTGCGCCTGCTCCTTTGGCTGCTGCACCTTTTGCCGCTCCCTATGCATCCGCTTTCGCTGCTCCAGCCCATTATGCGTGGTAGAAAAGTGAAAATTCCAGGAAGTAGTGGATAATATAAGAACGAAGATTGTTGGCATTTTGCTTGCAAACTAGCTCCAATTCGAACTGATTACATCTATTAAAAGAATAAAAAATTTATATTGAATATGATATAATGCATTTCTCTTTAAACTTTGGATGACAGCGTCACAGCTAACAAAAATTGATGCCGGGGTCAACAAAAGCTGCACACTCTTGACATGAAAGATCATAAAGTAAAAGTGATTCTAAGGAAAAAGTTTGGGTTGTGTTGATTACCAAATGAGTGCAGCCTACATTTTAATAAAAGGTACTTGAGTAGGTATGTACATATATGTATCTACATTTGTACAATGCAGGCCTTAAAATTGCCAAAGAGATGGGAAGTGGTTGCGCTCTTTTGTGACATCATTTCTCTCTGTAACTTACGGATGCTACTCATCGTATTAGTTTTTCTTTCGGAATCGCTGGAATACGATTAGCCCTTCGGCGCAAAGTGTTCTATTTTGGAAAAATCTCGAGAACAAGAGCTTTAAAGATGGAAATTCAGAAAAAGCACAGCCTTTACCTTTAAAATGACCTCCAAACATATAAGGCTTCAAATTTTTTTCTTTTTTGACTTGAAACCGGTACGCAGTGAACGTTTTAAATTTCCAAGGCATCCATTACGATGGTCGCAAAAACCGAAAAAAAAGGATTTTAAATTATTTTTAAAAAGTTAATTTCAAGCTGTTTTCAGATAGAAAACATACAAAAAAATAAAAAGGCTAACTTTTGGCGGCCATTTTAAAGGTCTCATTGAATGAAAAATTACCTTGAAATCGAAATCGACCTTCGAAAGTAATTTTTTTTTAATTTTTTCTATTTTCATCTAAAACCAACATACAATTATCTTAAAAACATTTAGATTCGTTTGTTTACTGCGACCATGGAAATAGATTCCTTCACACTGCAACCTGGATTCAGTTTAAAAAAAAATATATATATTAAAACCTTCTATTTTTGAAGCTCATTTTAAAAGCCTAGCCAATTTTTTTATCCAACAGTACTCATCGACTGAGTCGCTCTTCCACCACAAATCCGACAACGAATTTGCGCTTTCATACATGGCAGCTGTAGTAACAGTCGCAAAGTCCCCAAGCTGGAGGTTCGCCTTTCCACATTAGCTCGTCTCCAAACGGTCTAGCTTCGTGACTTTTTAATGCTACCTTTTCTATAAGTCATTTTCATATATTTAGTATTCTAGGGGGAAAAAAATCGATTTTATAGAAGTGTAAAAAAAAATTGTACCCGAAAATGTTTGACTATTGAGAATAATCTTTGGAAACTCGAGCAGCCAAAATGAAAGCCTAATTTAATTGCAATGGCAATATATATTCAATTTTGTGACTTCCGTCATAAAAGCGGTCGGCAAAATGAGCACCTCTTATTAATAAATACCTTAAGGCATCGCTTTTTTGGTAAGCCTTACCTTTGGCAGCTGTATTAGAAGACTTTACAATAGCTCTGCCATTCGGAAGCAGACGTGGTTGTTTAAAAAAAACGGCAGTGTGTAAGGGACAATGTTAAATTGTTAACATTTTTAGTGATCATCTGGTCACACTGGTTACATAGAGGATACTTGGCGTAAACACCGGAAGTCCTGGGCTGCTCCAACCGGATGCAAAATACATGTTTTTGGTCACTTGCTGGTGAATGGCGATCAAAAACTTTCCCAACATACGTTGGCCTCTGCATCCGGAACCATCCGCCATGCATACATTCATTTTTTTAGATTTTGCATGGAAAGGCCATCTGTTGGCTGGTGCACTTAGGCTCAACACTGGCCAAGATGAACCCTTTACTTAATACAGATAAACGTGTTCGTAACTACGGCAGTGAGGGTGCCCTCGGCCACAAGAAATTTCAGGGTCAAACTAAATATTATGAGTTTTCTTAAAGTAGTCAGACATTACCAATTTATTTTATTAAGTCTCCAAACAAGTGCAAGTGTGTCAGCACTAGTTTATGGAAATGTAAACACAACATACACAATTTTATTAATACTTATGAATAAATATTTACATACATACATATGCCCATAGCAGAAGAGCACACGCGCTGTGACATAATCAGCGCAGATAATTGCAGCATATTTTATTGCATAGAAGACTTTGCACCCAACTAAAGCAATTTTATGACGAACAAATTAATTAATCGAATAGTTTAATGTAGAAAAAATCAAAATACCTCAACGGAACTATTGCGCGCATACATTTTTCCGACCTTTCCTATCGCATTGCATATTAAAGAGTCAATGGGCGCTGGCTAACACACAATTTACCACCGCCGCAAATGGTCACCTACAAAAGTTTATTGGTAGTAATTAGCGCCACAATGGAATGGGTTTGGTCGAAAGTGAAATGTCCGCCAGTCAGTGGGTGGTTGAGTCATTTTGGGCAACGTAACTATATTTTCATATAAATTGGCGCATCAAATATTAATAATTCATTAGCAAGGTAACATTTGCATAGACAAGTGGGCACTTTGGTAAGCAACCAGTAAACTTTAAACTCTAAGAAAAATTAAGTAAAATGGCGCACATGAAAATTGTAAGTTTACTTATTGCATTTAAAAAAAAAGAGTATTGCATTTATTAATTTATCCTTTTTATTCCTTTTCGCAGGCTTTTGCTTTGCTAGCCATGGCTGCATTGACCATCGCTAAGCCATCACATCCTTTTGCGCTGCACACAGCCATACCAGATCATTTCGATTTTGCACCACCTGTACTGCCGCCTACGCAGTTCCATGCCGCTGCACCCGCTCCTGAACCCTGGTTGCCCGCACCCCATTTACATGCCGCTGCAGCCGCTCCTGAACCCTGGTTGCCCGCACCGCATTTCCATGCCGCTGCACCCGTTCCTGAACCCTGGCTGCCCGCACCACACTTCCATGCCGCTGCTCCGGCACCTCTACTGCCTGCACCTGCGCCATTCTTCGCTCCAGCGCCATTTTTCCCAGCACCAGCCCCAGTTCTTCCCGCCCCTGCACCCATCCTCCCAGCTCCTGCACCCGTTCTACCAGCTCCTCTCTTGCCCGCTCCCGTAGTACATCATCATCATCATGTTGTGCCTGCCCCCC